CGGAGTTGGAGTCCCCTGAAGATTCGACCGTTGAGATCTCTGGAGAGTTGAGAGAGTCGTAAATTCCCTCAATCGCCGTTGACCTTGTAAATGTCCTTGAAGATGAGTTACCTCGGGAAAGGAACAATGGATGAGGGCGGNCTCCTGGAGCCAGAACTTTTTTAGGAGTTCTAATAATTGTTGATTCGCCGTCTACGTTGATGTTTTGAAGGATGATTTGGCTACGCAGTCGTTACAACCAACTGGTCCCGATANCGGAGTTGGAGTCCCCTGAAGATTCGACCGTTGAGATCTCTGGAGAGTTGAGAGAGTCGTAAATTCCCTCAATCGCCGTTGACCTTGTAAATGTCCTTGAAGATGAGTTACCTCGGGAAAGGAACAATGGATGAGGGCGGTATCATTTGCCGAAATTGATAGAAGATAAATGATATTTTACCTCTCCATCCAAATGTTTCCTGCGTTCCCGGGCTCGGAGTAGATGAACCATTGCGTTGATGTTCTCTCGATGATGAATTTTTCAAATTTGAGTTTTGATAATTCTCCGAAATTTTGTCGACCCTGCCAACGTCCTTGACGTCTCTGTCAAGCTTGTTCATTCGTTGAGTTGCCCTGCGTTGATAAACTTGATGACTTTCTGAAGACGTAGTGATGTGGTTTGAACGAGTAGATTTCCGAATTTTGATGAATACGTTGAGACTCCGTGGAAGAGATGATGATACCCGCACGTTGAACGCCGATATAGGTAATACGAGTGTAGCGAGAGTGAGGATGCCTCCTCGACTCACGCTGATGAGGTTCACTGCCGAAAGTCGGACGGATTGAGAATGAAGGAATCCGATGAGTATCAAAATCCGCCAAGTACCAACGATGATTTTCAATTCGCGCAGTGTACGATGTACACAAACTTCGATGAGGCCACAGCACTAATCCTCTGAGGGATTTATTCTGGATGAATAGCACTGAATTTTTTCTGGTGATTGTCCACGTTAATTGTCTTGTGAATCCCGAATTGCCTCGTGGCACACAGAGCGTCTATTTCACAAACGCGTTGATTTTCCACACGTGATACTGCACTTCACCACACTGTCTCTTGTCCCTGTCCTTGATGACTATCCACTTTCAACACCGCACTTTTACACTCCACTATCCGGCTCGAAGGACCAATGTTAGAAATCAATCACGATTTGATGAGCCGGGTGGTCGGGAGGAAGAGTGAGATTCCGGTAAGGGGTTGATAATTAGCCGGAGGTAATTTGATGAGTTTTCTTTAATCAACAAACTATTATGCACTGAAAATTACACAACACAAAGTTTAATAAATAGATGATTTCCGAGTGGACTGTATACAACTTAACAAAAAGATGATTTGCGATTATAATGTTCGATAATAGCTGCGATAATTTTCCGGCACTTTCACTAGATGAAGTTCGATGGCGTACTAAAGATACGACACGCACGATCGTTCTCGTGCGTGTTCGTCGATGCCCGAAGGTTTCCGAGCGAGCAAAATTCGACATTTAGCCCAACTGAAGGATGATTTTCAACAGACTACACGCACCAGAAATTTTTTTTATCACCGCTGTTGCATTCACCTCGTACCGAAATGGGTCTTCATCACGCATGAAAAAATTTAATTGAAAAACCTATCGAATTCGTTAGAAAATTCTATTGAATTTCTATCAAACTTTCTATTAGTTTTTGGCTGATTCTATTGACATGTTCAGTAGAAAACATTTAATAGAAAAAGTCAACAGAATTCGATTGTTCTATATTTTTCTATTAAATTTTTTCATCCGTGATTTACTTGTCAAAAAAATGTAGTTCAGGCACATGTGTGACCGGATTTTTCAGCCGGTGTGATTAGTTGGCCGCCAACTTTTATGAAAAACCCGTCGCGATTATATCACAATATATTATTTCCTATTCAACCCTAATAGACAAATTTGAGGGAATGCAAGGAGTTTCTTGGAAATTAGAGAAAGAAGCAAAGACCATGGACGTATCCATGGACAATTATAGCTGTGTCGAAGATAGCGCCGCCTGCAATGTTTTTAAGAATTTTGGACATTTGCGCTATATTTGATGGTTCTATATGTTTCACTAGATATATTTGACGGGATTACACATAAAGGAAGAGCTTCACGAAGGCCATTTTTTAATTGCAGAACTTTTGAATCCCGCTAGTTTATACCCTTAATGTTAGATAATATTCCGCATAAACTCACTATAAATAAAAAAAATAATCTCAATTATCTGAATGGAATTTGTTTTTCATTTTAGTTGGCTTTCTTCATTGCTTGATAATTATACTATATTTATGTCAACAAAAATTGATATTTCAAACACATAAATTGCCAATGATGATAAATTTTGAGGGCGAAAATAATTTTCAATTATTTGATTACATAACCATCTGTTTTCATCATAATTTCATTGATTCTGCAGGTAAAAAGATTCTCCTTCACCACAAGTACAGAAAATTCTACGTCTGAACCCATGATGTGGGCCATCGAAAGAAACTGCACGAACAAATGTGAGCCTGGTTGTATAGTGATTGGAGAAAGAACGAAGCTCTATGCGTGCACAGCATGTTGCGAAAAATCCCTGTGCAATACCGGGAAAGGTACAGCTGCTGAAATGAGTACGAAAGAAATTGGTTTTGTACTCGCTCTGCTACTCCAAGCTCTCCTTACAATTACACTGTATCCGGCGTGACATTGCCGATAAATCGTTGAATATTTTATGGCTGTTATCTTTCTTTGTTACTACTTCATTTCAATCAGTGACAGAATCCTCTACGTAGGATCATCCCGAGTTGAAATTTCCTCGGTTTATCATCAGTTACCGATCAGGTGCATCCGACATGGTCACCGGTTCCATATATATTTCGGCCTACAAAGAACTTATGAAAACGTCACAGTTATCTCACAAGTTATAAGTAGTTTGCTGTAACCCATCAAAAACTCACGTGATTACTTATTCACCTAATTATTATTAACGATTTGTCAATGATGAATAACTCATTAATTGCCATGGAAAAGCATGCGCAATGGTAAGAATCGATTTATACACGCCGAAAAAGAAGAAAAATTCCATTTCCATTGAGTGGTCACCCATCCATTTCCAAACCTTACTCGATGTTACTTAACTTTGGTGGTCGTCTGTTGTGCTGAAGTCCAAGTCCACTACACGGAGAGAAATTTTTTCGAAAAATTCTAGTGCTAGCACGGGAAAAGAGCCGCAAAGTGACGGCCAGGAAAAAATTCCAGTACCGGCACTAGAAATTTTATTGGGGAAAACGTGAATTTTTCTCTGTATTTCTGTGAAAATTTCACAGAAATCCTCAGAAATTTTACCAGAAATACCAAGAAATTTTTCCTCAACAGCACTAGAATTTTTCACAGCCAATGGATTGTGATTTTTTCCAGTATTCGTACTAGACTTTTCGTAGAAAATTTCTCTCCGTGTATCCTGTTTCTTGGGAATATAACATTTATATATTCCAGATAAGGCGAAGATTTGTATTCTCTGACGAATGATTCATGATTATTAAGCTTAAACCTTAATTCTGATCCTTATTAGCGACCCTCATTTCTGACCCTTATTTTTTACCTTTATTTCTGACCATTATTGCTGACCCTAATTAATGAGCCTTATTGATAACATTTCAGACCCTCATCCCTGGCCTTCGTGACCCTCATGAGCCTTAGTTTTGGCCTTCATTTCTGCCCCTTGATTTTGACCCTTATTTAGGCTACTGATGCATTCTCGACCAGTTATGCCCGGCCGGACTTGGACAATTGAACGTCTGTAACACCTTATAAGTTGCAAACGGGTTGAGTTACATAAGTTAGTAATCGGTGGTAAACTCATCTGTGACCGGCAATGATCGTCCCTACATTGTTGAATTTGGAAGCTACGGGTTACATGTCGGGTGCAACCGATGAGTCAGGAACCCGCAACAAACTCATAGGTTCCCAATGCACATTGGGGGCCCCGATGAAATTTCTACTCGCACTGTTAAAAAAATTGTGATTTTACAACACATTTACAATACTCCGGTATGAGAAAATCAATATCACTGTAGAAAAATGAAAAATTAATATTTCTTTCCAGGAAAATCATTGCACACATTAGTAATATCCATGCAGAGTATTGTGTATTTCATATGAAATATGTGAAAATTATTATTTTCTTATAAAAACCAAAGTTGTCTTGTGATTTTCGTATGTTATTTTCACGAATTTCGGATACAATATGTAATTACATCTTCATCGTACTGTAAATTTCCCACAAAAAATGTTCAATTTCCCATTTCATATGCTAATTAAACATACTCATGGGAATTTAGCAGACAGGTGATGTAAATACATGAATGAGAGTATGAATTTTCGTGCTACTCTCACAGAAATTAATATGATTTTCATTGTATTCTTATCATACAATTGTGATGAATAATTTGACAAGATGTGTTGGTAAATTTTGGAGACTTCACGTCATTTCTATCATACATAAGTTACTTAGATTTTGCATGCGTATGTGAAAACTACAATATGGTCAAATAATTTTATCGATCGAGTGATTAGAGGAAACGTGTACTGTAAATACGTGAATGAGCGTTGCAATTTCCGAGATATTATTACTAATATTTACAAGATTTTCATTGGATTCGTAAGATATAATTTCTATGAATAACGATGTGATATGAGTTGCCATATTTTCGAATTCCTTGTAGGATTTTCTTCATACTACTATGAAATTTCAAAATTTGAATACGTCCATGAAAATTACTGGAGTATTGAGTATAGTCTCTATCTACTAATTTCACTGTGATCTTGATGAACTTCGTATACTACAGAGTGTTTTTAGCATAAACTCTTTAGTGAAAATAACATGTTGAGAGGGGCAATAACAAAATTAGCACGATGCAATACACTGACACTTAATTTCCGTTACGACGTAGTAATTATACAAGGCGTATTGATGAATTATAAATAAAGGTGACGTATTTTGAATCATTATCTTTCACTGGATTATTTTTCCATTCGAAGTGAAGAGGAATAAACTGGGAAATGAATTAAAATTTTATATACAGGAATTTCTGTATTCAAAGTTTATCAAATTATTTTCTAACAACAGTTTCTAATCGGGGATAGTAAATGAATAATTGTTAAATAAATTTGTATTTTTTGTTCCTTCCATAGTAAGTGGATGTTTTATCAAATTACGATTTCTGAAGAAGTTTTTCCATACAGAAGAAGAAAAAAAATTATAACGCGTCAATTTCTTCCATCATTCTTGGAAAGACGATGCGTTAAAATAAAGGGCAATGCCATATAGAAATGATCCCTATTCACATCATCACAATATTCATGAAACACTCGATTGTTTCGGTGATTTTCATGAACGGATTTCTTGGTGCAAATACGACTTGTTTGGTGCATGTGTTGAATTTTAGAATAATTTTAGAATTGCCTTCGTATCCATAGTTATTACTTTTTGAAACCCAAAAAATTAATAACTATGGACATGAAGACAATTCTAATATTCAACACATGCAAGGGGTACTGCTACTCCTTAAGGGTATTATAAGGGTGCATAGCTGAAAAAAAAGCAAAGAATCCCAGAAAAATTGTTGAACACATTATTTGATCGCTTGGAAAGCCGTGGGCAAAATATCCAAACCCCCTCACTAAATAATAACAATGGGAATAATTTATGAAGTTGCCACTTACATACGCGGTTGAATAGAGCATCGATAATTTTTTGGGATTTCCTACGTTATCGACAGGTCAATAACGTAGAAAAATCTAATAGTTGTGAAAACCTAGGTTTTGACGGACATATAATTAGCAGGAAAATAACTCATTTCCGAATGAAACCAATTTAGATAATTTGGGAATAATTTGGGATAATTTAGGAATATAATTTTATAATTTAGGAGTTGATAGTTTATTTATAATTAATTAGTCTTGATACGGCGTATAGTTAGCAGGTGATATGACCGAATATCAAGTAAACCCTTATAAATCGATGCGGAATAATTTGGGAAGTCCAAAAAAAATTGATTCGGAATTTGGGAATTGATAATTATTTTCTAAACAATTATTTTCCAATGTTATCACGGCGCGCGCCCCCACTCGCTCATGCACCGTCTCTATGTCTGTCAACTGTGCTTCCCCCTCCCCAGAATGCGTCAGCTGTGTTTACTTCGGTTGGAAACAGTTGGAACTAGTGGTTTGAACAAAGTTTAATTAACATTATGTAATGAAGTGTTTTTATTTATTGATGACGAAATGGTTCGAGTTCATGAGTGTGAATATGAGAGCGAACGAGAGGAACCAAATCCTGGAAGCTCATAAAAAAATCCATGAGAACGTGACGATCCCGCAGACATTAATTTTCTCAGAAAATAAAAAATTGTTATGATCCTGGAGGACAGTTGCTGAACAGTCAGTCATGGCTCTAAGTCAACCTCGAGTGATTCCCGGAATGTCAGGATTATCATGTAAAAAAACATCGAGGAGTACTCATGAGTGGGAGGAATATGAAAGGGACGGAAAGCCTGAAATCAGGGGATAAGATCGTTTCTGATGAAGTTGACGATTCACAGAAGGAGGACGGGGTTCTTCAACTATATGAATCCACCTGAGGAAGCTGCCACGTTGTTCGGTTGGGTCATTCATTCAATGGGTATTAATGAATTCTTCAGATAATTATTGC